TTAATCTGACAGATTTTATCACTTTAAACATTATAACATATCCATAACTTAGATTTATTTCTGATCGACTTGTAAAATCCAAATTATCGAGATTGACCTCCTAGGCTTTTCACATTAAAGCCGCAAGGTTAAACCCGTTATGACCAGTTATTAACTGTAGATTTTAATTGCTTGTAAAAACTACACCAGTAATAGCATCACACAAGGATTAATTATTTGTCTTGTATATACATTCTAAGTCAAATATTATAACTGTAGAATTTAGGTAAAAGGTCAGGAATATATTTTAAAGAAATATATTTTGACCCCGCTTGAAAAATTAAATATGTCATCTATCCTCCTCTGGGGATAACTAGAGCAAAGGAGATTAGAAGAGAGGAACTATAAAATGGTTTCACATTTTATTTTTTTTTTTAAATTATGGTCCTTTATATTAATTGTTTTTAATATTTTTATATTATTTTTCAAAAGGCATGAAACCACTTTTCCTGCAGCCTTCATCATTATTAACATCAATGACAGAACTAAAAAAAGGATAAATATGAAATTAATTCAGCATAATTTTTCATTATATTAAACATAATATACACATTTCAGATAATATACAAACTTGAGACTAGTTTGTCTTTCGTTATTATTGCTAATGAGTAAACTATCCTACATACAACTTATCAAACAAAAGTTTGATTATCCCATTGAACGTGCAATGCTGATTTATTGATATAACACTTCAGCATCCAATATACAGAAAGAATAGCAGAAAAATAAAGGTTGGACATATGAGCAACTTTATACTGGCCATTTGCTGAACTTCTCTTCTGATTTTTTTTTCTTTCCTTCACAAAAGCACTTCTGAAATAGTGGAATTTACCACAAATATCCAGGGATAGCGTGTTGAAACGTAGAGTCGGGGCCTGGTATCAGGGTTCAAAGAGTTAAAATTACAGGGTAGAAAACAAATTTCAGAGACGTAAACTTATTTGATCTTTCACAAATGTTTAATAACTGTAAAATAAAATAAAACTATGAAACTTCTCGTTTCATATTAATCAGTTTACCTGTATATTAAAAAATATTTTAAAAAACTTATTAAAAAAAAGGAAAAAAAAAAAAAATCAAGGTTTCCCAGGTAAATGGTGAGATTTTATGACATGCAATTGTGCAGAATAAATTCATGCAGATTTAGCCATGCAAAAGAGAAAAGTATTTACTTATGAAAGCAAATGAAAGGAAAAACAGAATGGAAAATTTTGGTAAAAAGAAATATACATGCAATTAAAAGAGTATAATTAAAAAAAAAAAAGATTTTAATATAGCCAAATGTCATCAGTTAACTTATTTGCTGATATGAATAAATTTTTTTAAATTATGTCATTGTTTTATATATATATATATATATATATATATATATATATTCATATATATCATATATATATATACATACATCTCATTCATATATATAATTGATATACATATATCTCAATTATAAATATATCATTGATATATACATATATAATTGTATATGACATTTTTATCAATTTTTTTTTTTTTTTATCGATTTTCAGTTTTTCTTAAGTGAAATAATGCATTGCTTTAAAGGAATTTTTTTTAATTAATTTTTTTCATTATTATTTTTAATTAATATTCACATCCATTTTAATTATTAGTAAATACTAATGATTGTGATGATTCATGTAATAAAAATGAAAATAACATTGCCATTTTTTAGATTTTCTTTTTAAACATTATCCTTATTCGTATTGCATTTATATTAATTTTCAAAATTATAAGCATGGAGTCAGGAAAGGATTGAAAAGCTAAGATTTTTCAGTGAATCTAAAACCATTTAACACTACTACTACATGTAATTATTAAAAATACACCTTTAAGTGCCGAATCTATATGCGTCGTCAGTGTTGTTGCTCCCATGTCGCTAGAAGTTTCGGGTTTAAATAAACAACAGAATTCTTCGATGGGCGACCTGACCGAATATGATCAGTATTCGGCTAGCACTCAGAATAAATTTGCTACTGGCTTTAGGACGTGCTTTATATAAGTTCCCCCAGAGAACAGCAACTAATCAAGACTTCACTTGAGCTATGTCATAGATCGGGTATGCTTGGTTGTACTGATCTTCCTACATGCGGCCAAGACAGGGAGTTTTTTGGAAGAAGAAAACAAACCTATATTTTAATAAAATAAAAACGATTTATTATATTGACTCGTCTTGCAACTTACTTTTCTTTCTCTCCCTCCCCTTTTAACTTCTTTATTATATCTTATTTGTTTCGTCTTTCTCTTTTTATAACTTTACTTTTTATTCTCATTTTTTTCTTAACTGTAACATTTCAATTCATTTACAAATGTTAGGTCTTAGGAAACCCCAATTTTTTTTGTTTTGTTTTTTTTTTATTATTGAAAATTAGTAAACAAAATATTACTCTTAATTATAACTTTTTATAAAACTTGTAAAAGTTAGTTCCAAATGCACAAATCCAAAAGAACACCAAAATAAGTAAAATAAAATGGTCAAATTGTACTATAGGCACCGCAACAAGAAATCAGTTTTTGAATTTTTTTTCCATATTACTATGGATTAAACACTAAACTTTTTTTTTTTTTTTTTTAATTACTAAATTTTATAAAATTTAATAATGGGGATCCATTTTGCTATGCAAATTCATTGTAAAGTAATCCCCCTATGAAAAGCAAAAAGAAATGTTTGGTTTCTTAAAATATAAAAAAATGAGCAAAATCTTTGAAATTTATAATCTGGAGTTCTTTATTTCATATATTACTATTTATTATACTCTCCAAAATATGAACTTCAAAGTTTTCCTCATTTTTTTTTTTTTGTACATACATGCTAAGTTACATTGTTTATAGCAGTGCATGGAAGGAAAGTGTGTAGAATGTACTTGTTTCACGACACCACAGAGCTTCTATCAGTGACTATGGCTTGTGCAACAGTTTTTGGTCAAGTACAACATTTCCTAGGTTCAATCAGCCAATCTTGTCCCTTGTGGCTTTTTCCTCTTTTCAAAATAAAATCCCAACTTGAAAGAAACAAGATTTCAAAACATTGAGGAAGTCTAAGACAATGCAATGTGGCAGCTGCTCACTATCCTAAAAAAAATGTTCCAGGAAGGTTTCCCTCAATAGAAACAAGGCTGGATAATATATATTATAATTATCTTTTTATAGTACCAGTCTCGGTACTTTTTGATCAGATCTTTTATATATATATATATATATATATATATACACACACACACACACATGTATCCTTGCATTCATAGTTTTGTGGTTTTACCAACTCAGCAGTGGCTTATGAGTTGGTAAAACCACAAAACTTTGCACTACAAACATAAGTATATGTATATTTAGTAATATATATGTCTTAGCTCTGTCTAACCACATTGAGAAGTGTTTTTCTTACCTGTGTATGCATGCCATATACAATTGCTAATATCTAATTATTTGGTTTTTATATATATATATATATATATATATATATATATATATATGTGTGTGTGTTAGATACATCTTCACTTTTCAGCCTTGATAAAGTTCAAAATCATTTACACAGACTTGTGGTGGGAGGTGACTTATTCTCCACTCTGCAGCCTCTTTCCCTGCAGATGCAATGTCGCAAGATTATCTCTACACTATCGTTATTTCCGAAACAAATGTTCAGATAAGATCCATTCTTTAATTCCACCAGCTCGGACCTATACCACTAGGATATGCTATGTGACTTCCACAGAGTTGAATCACTCATATCTCCTCTGTATTCCAAATGTAAAGAGACAGTTCCACTCAGTTTTTCTTCAAGCACTGCTACTTTGTGGACAGAATTACTGCATGGATGCTTCTCTGAACATTACAATCTTAATCTCTTCAAGTCAAGGGTCAATCATTATCTATCCTCCTTATCCTTATGATCTTTACTTACTACCACTTTCTATTTATTTTATATCACACACCTCATTCCACATAACCACGGTCACAGTAATTCTACCATGAGTGGCTTTCAAGCTTTGTAAGGGTGTACTTTAGTAGGATCAAAAATATATACAGTTTGCCAGCAACTGCCACAGAGTGGACAGGGAAATTGTCTCATCCTTACTCCTAAGGCATCCTTCTGGAAGTGTCTTCTCATGAAAATTGACTTTCCCAGACACCATAGCTCAGGACTTATCATTGAACCTTGGGGAGAGCAATACAGGACCGAACAGTGTGGAAAGGGATTGTCAATGGAGTTCTGACCAATCATAGGGTGGTCAAAGGATGATGATGATGCTAAACAAAATTCTTTGGTTAAAAAATGCTAAAAATCACGTTGAGTGAAAATATATTGATCTGAAAAGGGGTTAAGGGAGATAATCCATAAACTGATTTGACTAATCTTTGATTTGATCTATATGTAATCATTTTTATAAAATTTTCATTTAATTAATATGTAATAATTGTTATAAAAAAAAAAAAATATATATATATATATCATTTAGAAACATGGGTTAAGAAAATGAAAAATAGAAAAAAAAAACAAAAATACAAAAAGACAAAATTTTGTTAATTTCTTTTTTTTTTTTTTTTAGAAAAACAATTAACAATTAAAACTATTTACAATCTTTGCAAAATCGTATTTTTAAATAAAAACAAAAAAGAGAAAAAGCCATGCATGGCAATCAAAAAAAAAAAATCTATAAAAAAAAAAGAAAAGATCAAACTTTTCAGCTTCTATCAAAATTGTTGATATAAAAAAAACAACAACAGGAACAAGAAAGACAAAGCAATAAAACTATATCAGAACAATCAGCAGCAGCACATATCATTATACAGCCAAGTTAGTGAATAAAACAAACAAAAAATACACTATCAAACTAATGCTTAAAAAATAATGACAGATGAAAAGAAAAATGATAATTGTTATAGATTTATAAGGAAAGGAAAACTACAATTCTATCCATCCATGACAGACAGATGAATTACAGTACCTTGTCAGCCTCATGTAACTTCCCCTAAAATACAAGGAAAAATAAGAAGGAAAAAATTAAGGAAAATAGAAGGGCTGTTTCAAAGTTGGTTTTGCTTTCTTTTCAATGAAAATGAAAAATATATCAGTTTGTATATTATAGCCATTTTTAAGTGCAAATCTAAGAGTCAGGCAAAAGTTTTTTTTTATGATTATTATTATTCATCAGATAAACGTTAAAACTTTTTGCTCCAAGAAAAAGTACACACAAATATTGTCTGAAAATTCCAAGATGAAACGTCATTTTTATCTCACAGGTTATTTAGACTAACATTCTCGTCTTTGTTGTTTTATCGACGTTTCAAATAAACAGCTAAGAATGCACAAACTGAAACACTGATAAAAATCAAGATAAAGAACAATATTTGTTCAAAAAACTGAATGAATAAACTGAACATATATTTTTCAAAAGTCTTTTTGCATCTTTCACTTATTTTCTTTGTTAAATTATGTGATTGGACCAAAATAAAAGCCCATTTTGAATCACAAACTTTAATCTATCATAACTTGGTTAAAACATAGTTTTATTAATCAAAGAAACAATCAGCACTGTTGCAAATAACCTGGTAGTGAATTTGTTCAATCAAGATAAAAAACTGATCATGAGAGATGACAAACTGCTGAAAGGCATTTTTAGCCTGGTTCATATTGGTGTGCACCTGCTGGGATGTACATTTCTCTAAAACCTGGAAAAGGGTATATATATAAAAAAAAAAAAAAAGTAGTAGTTGGAAGCAGGATCTTGGTGCTTAACTGTAACAAATTTTCCCCCTGGGTAGTTTGTGAAGTTTTGCACTATCCTTTCACTGCTGACCAAAATTTTTGCCACTTTTGATAATGCATCAGTTCCAAAACAATGTATCAGGTGTGTCTGTTGTGATTGTCTAAGCTAATTGCAATAGGCTGGAAGGTCTTCCACCTTTACAGCAACACTAAAATGGTCAGAAAGAACTTTTTGAAACCATGATTTGACTAATTTGAGAAAGATTGAGAAGAGAGCAAGTTTATTAACCCAAAGAAAGCCAATATACTTCATTTTTTCAAAGCCATTTTTAACTATTGTTCCAAGAAAGCAGTTGTATACAACTGACAGTTTAGATATTTCTGAACAAATAGTGCCATGTGTGGCACTGATATGAAAATATTGATCTGATAAGGCTAACATTACTTCAGTTTTTAGGTTAATGTTTTGGTTTACTAGCAACTTGTGGTGTTGGGTGAAACTACCCCCATTGCAGCATATTCTATGTTCAATTTCCTTATCTTCTATATGAAATTTGTTGTAAGTGATCCATATATGAAGGTATTCTAAGTGTTTAGTATTTACTAAAGAAATAAAAAATCAAATTTCTGAAAGATAAGAGACAGAGTTTTAAAATGATTGATGTACGTATAAACAAAAGTAAATATGAAAAAAATGACTGCACTAATGCAAGTCAAAAATTGTCATATATTTTGTTCCAACCTAATATCAAATATTTTTGCACCCCGCCGCCACATGAATATCTGTTTAAATTTATTTATATATGAACATTTTAGATGTTCTATAATGTATTAAACATCTTGAACATCAACTTAAAAATGCCACTGAATTTTTTTTTTTTTTTTTTTTAAACGAGATGAAAAATATAAAAACAATAACATTCAAACAAAAAATATTTAAACCATCTTTTTCAAACAAATGAAAATACATAGATATTTTTTTCAGAGTAGACATTTTGAGCAAACAGAAATCAAGAATAGACAATAAACAGAGTCAGAATAATTTAAAATAATTTTTGCATTTAAAACAAAACAGAAATTATCAACATTTTTCAGCAAAGCATATATTTCTTTGGGGTGCATTTTTGCACAGAAATTAACTGCCTCAATTCTGACCCCCTACCCAATACCATCAGAGAATAATCAAAAAATTCTTCATGTTGACATAACATACAGAAAGAAAACTAAGAAAATTAAGTAAAATAATATTTTAAATCAATCAGATTCTCTCAGAGTCTTTATAGAATAACTCCCCATTTAGATTCAGTGATTACATACTTTTTACTAACATTAAAATAGAAGGAGGTAGGTGGGGGAGAAATGTGTTAAATTTTTGGTTTATCCATTGCCAGAATCTATAAGCAGCCTGCCATGCTTGTTGTTGGCACATTAGGAGCAAGGAAATCACATAGCAATCTGCTTCTAAAGAAATGTTTCACGTGTGCCGACATCAAAGTTGAATCCCTTTAAACATGAACAGAGTCCAGTAGAGAACATCTTTCATCTTTTATAGGCTTATCGTCCCCTTTACTTTGCTTTTCTCTTTCTTTCTCTTTTCATCTTTCTTTGTCTATGGAATGAGATTATGCAAATGAATTTGTTTCTTTCAAAGCTTGGTTTCATCCAACACTTTACCATTATTCAATAAAGCTATGGCAAGTGATCAACAAACAAGTGGCAAACCAATTATGCATCTAAGGGTATCTTTACTTTTAAAAGAAAAATAACAAGACAATTGGCCAATGACAGGAGAGACCAACTCCAATGGATTATATAAGTGGGCACTGAGGAGTAACCATCTGTTTCATGTTTGAATGCGATCTTCAAATTCTTTTATATTTCCTTACATGATATATTTCATATATAAATATAATCCTATACTGAAAATTTGACTAAAATGAAGTGCATGCACACACACACACACATATATATATATATATATATATATATATATATATATATATATATATATATATATATACTTTATTTTAGGATATTACATCAAAAACATGTAAAAAAAAAAATGGTATGTAAACGAAATCTTGTTTCGATGTGTTAATATGCATCTCATCAAATAAATTGTCTACTCACCAGTTATTTACTAACACCTGAAGAGATGTGTTAATATGCATCGAAACACGATTGTATTTGCGTAGCATTTCTTTTTTACATGTTTTCTTTTATGTAATATCCTAAAATAAAGAATATCTCTCTACTTTTGTATTGACCCCTCTTTTAAATGTTACGAATGTCGAAATTGGACTCTATTCATTCTCATTTTACATGGATATATATATATATATATATATATATATAATGTGTGCGGACACTGAGGTCAACAGTTTCATGTTTGAATAAAATCTTCAGGACTGAAGAGTGTAGATACGTCGCCACTTGGTGCTGATCTCAGTGTCTACTTTTATATTTACATATGCTCTTTTCCTGAAATGAACCACTTTTACTTATAAATATAGCATAACTTAAAATTATATATATATATATATATATATATATATATATATATATATTCATTCAACTATGTCACACTATCTCTCACCACTCTCTATATCACCTTACATCAGCTTAATACTACCCTTCAAAAGTGTAAGTTTAAATTCATTTTTTAATCCTTAGAAGTGAGGTATGATGATCCAGGGAAAAAGAAACTCCCTGAGGAAATAAATTATAACCATAGAACCTTAAAGTTGTCTGGTTTTCTTTAAATTATATATATATATATATATATATATATATATATATATAGAGAGAGAGAGAGAGAGAGAGAGAGAGAGAGAGAGAGTTAAACATCAAAATACAGATTAGAATCTGACAGGATAATACGATAAAGGACAAATAGGAAACATATCAATCTAACATGTTTCCCTTTTATTAAAGCTTTGTCAGAGATTGCGAGAAAACACACAAAAAGACAGAACTTTTGTAATTTTAATCAAACTTATATACATATAGAATTATCTATGGTGTTAATATGTGCAATATGTGACTGACCAATGAGAACTAACCCAAACAAAATTCAAAATAACAACTATTTTTTTGCCTGTTTTCCCTCAATCTCTAATGAAGCTTTAATAAAAGTGAAATGTTACATGGATATACATTTCCTATTTGTTCTTTACCTTACTATATATATATATATATATATATATATATGTGTGTGTGTGTGTATGTGTGTGTGTGTGTATGATTATAAAAGAAGGTGAGAAGAAGGATTCATACCTTGGGAAAGGTATGAATCCTCTTCCTGAGGCTGCACCCCGCAACGATGACAGACCCCCATGAGTTTTTCCCCTGCCACAAATGCTAGAGTCCCATCATCTCCTGGCGAGGAGAAAATCATGGGGAGAAAAATCTATGGGTAAATAGAAGGACAGACTGGGTTCTATAGCCTTGGATGGAAACTGGTCTACTGCAGAAACGGCAACCTACTGTTGGGATAAACAATCTGACTCGTCAGTCATGTATCAAAAGATACGTGATCGCCTAAACATGTATCACGCATGGCATATAACTGACTAAAATAAGCTGCTCAATGAAATATAATTATAAGAAGACCAGATTCTTTTGCAGTGACATGTAAAATGGAAGACATTATGAGAAACTATTTCTTTCTTTTTTTTAAATTTGAGATCAATAACTGATTGGTCAACATTTGGCAGTAATCAAGAGAAAAAAATCTACATGGCAGTGTAAAAAGTTTAAACAACAACAAAAAAACTTGTCATTACCAAAAGAATATAATGAGAGAAGATCGGAAAGAAAGTACTAACTCTATCCCATAATAGTTGTGTGCGTGCATATATATATAATATATATAAGGTAATGTAATGTAATGGCTGGTTACTCATTTCCATGCTTACCCATTTTCCAGTGCTGCTAATAAATCTCTATTATAGATGCCTGCTCAAATCACTGTGCCCAGCTGTGGTTTATACTGCAACAAATCCTAGCAGACCTTAGTTACAGTTTCTGGGAGAGAGTGCATAATGTAGCATGATCAATTTCTTCAACAAAGCCAGAATACTCAAACACTCGGTCATGATGACTTATAACTTTGTGCTAGCACAACCACCGACGGCCTTCAAACAGTTCTGTCTATACAATTTCATTCACAAGACTTGGGTTAAGCCATGGTCTGCTTTTCAAGCACTTTCCAAATGTTCTGCACACTGAGATTGCCTCCCCAGGCCCAAATAACCAAGAAGT